CAGTACCAGGAATTATTCTCCAGTTCTCTTGTAATTCTGTGCACGTGAGTTTTACAGTAATTTTACTCTTTTTATAAAAGCAAGATTTTATGTTAAATAATTTTTAAAAATCATGTAATATCCATGAAACCTAAGATTAAAAAGTTATTTTCTAAATTTAACATTAAACATATTGATGTTTGGTGGATATTTTTATGATGCATGAATTTTAGATGAGTGAGTTCTTAAGTAACTGAAGTTTCATTTCAATTTAATTTGTACATAGCAAGTGTTTGAAAATGGAAAAGAAACTTCAGTATCAAACATTGATAGAATTCTTTAGTTATATGAAACAAGGTTTTGTATTTACTTACTGGGAAAGTGTAATGTATGTTACAGTTCTGTTGTGGGTGTAGATTACCGAGTTAGACTGCCTGGGTTTGAAGTTCTGGGTCTGTTGACTTTGGACAATTTGCTTTTTTTTCCTTTATGTCTAATAAATAGAACAATATATGCTGCATACTAGCAGTGTAATTTAATAATATTTGTGAAGGACTTAGTGCATAGTCATAAAAGATTTTTTTTTCCAGTATGAAGAATTGAAGCCAGGGCCTTGCCCTTTTTTTTTTTTTTTTTTTTTAGATGGTTTCATTAAATTGCAGTTGCACAGGTATTCCTTCTGCCTTATTCTCCCAGAATGCTGAGGCTAACCTCGCCAACCCCATGGGCAAATCTTAGTAAGAGTTTTCCTTCTCATTTCCTCTTTTTCTCTCCTAGTATTTTTATAATTTAGTTCTAAGGTAAAACATAATGCTAAACAAAATTATTTTTTTCATGTATGAGAGAAGGCTCTGAAAGGAAAGAAGAATTTTACTTGATAGTTTAAGTTTTAACTTTATTCAGGGTTTTTTATTAGACTCAAATTTTTGATATGGATAAAATGTTTATAGAAGTAATTCTTGTTTCTGAAGTGAATATTGGAGATATGTATCTGTTGAAGGTATATTTCTATATTTTATTTTATTTTATTTTT